TGGTCTTTTTGAGACAGGGTGTCCCTGTAGCCCCAGCTGTCCTGGAACTCATTATGTAGACCAGGCTGGCCTTGAACTCACAGAGATCCACCTGCCTCTGCCTCCTGAGTACTGGGATTAAAGGTGTGCACCACCACGCCCCGCCAGTAACAATTATTTTTTTATGAGCACATATTGAAGTCCCAGGTCTCAATTTGACTTCCAACTCTATCTTCTTTAAAGACAATACTTACAGGATTGGAAGTGTATTAAAGGTCATTTAGTTTAAACTGATTTTACCAAAAGCCTTCTCGTTAGCATCTTTAATCTCAGTACTTGGGAGGCAGAGGCAGGCAGATCTCAGAGAATCACTGGTTTACATATCAAGGTGCAGGCTAGCTGTGACTACAGGGAGACCCCTGCCTCAAAAAATAAAACACCAAAAAAAAAAAAAACGAACAACAAAAGCTTTCTGTTACATTACTAAGGTCACCTGGAGTTTTTGGTCAAGTTCAAAAATTGTTTTCTGAGTTTAGCAAAGCAGGTTATGTGACATTCTAGTAATCAATTCAGAGTATCAGGAAAACAATCTAACAGCTTTTTAGATCTTTAAAAATCTAGGTTACTAAGAAGCCTAGATAAATTCCTAATAAATGCATACTACTTATAAGATCTAAATTCCAGCAGCACTGAGACTAGAGGGGATGAATAAATCTCAGTAGCCAAGCATTCATCCCCCAATTTTTACTGAGTACTAAGCTTTCTACAGTGCTAAAATGTACTTGAGCACCCCTGCTACTCTGGACCTCACTCCAGCTTCCACCCGAAGACGTGTGGCTGTTAATACTCTCTCATTAAATACAAAAGAGTATTCAGGGAACATTTTTATAGCTCATAAGACATTATGAAAGACACTTAAGTGCACCACAATACATGAACTCTACAGTTTAGAAACTGATAGTGCATTAAACAACTTGAAATTAGTCGTGCTTCCATCTGTTTCAAAGATGACTTTCCTACTGTCCCTTTCCCACTAATTTCCCCATCAACGTTCCCAAGGCATTTCCTTATATGAAGGTCCTAGACTTACGTTTACTGGTTACTCACAGTTTCCATGGCATTGCGCTAGGGCTAAGACAAATACTCAGTAAAGCCTAACATAAGCATCATATTTATGATTCTTTCAAGTCCCAACATGTGGCACAGCAGTCAATAATTAACACTTCACCTTAAGCGATGGTTTGTTATTTAAACTGATAAGCTGAAGGCGTGACGGGGAAATGCGAAGTAAAGAGAAAAGGTATTTGGCATGAAAATGGGCTTCTAGACCTAGCCATTATTCCGTTTACCACATTACCTAGTACAACCCTCGGCTGAAAGCTGTTCTCTGTTTTACTGGCTAGTGCAGAGGGAGTTATTCACAGTACACAGCAAAAAATAGCTGAGGTCGGAAGAGCTGTTAAATTGTAATCGAACATTTCACTGTCAGGGGAGTGTTTTAACCCTAAACAGGACGGTGGCTGGACGCGTCTACCGCAAGTGGAAATGCCTAGCCCGTCCTCCCAACGCACACAGGAAGACTCGGGCCTGCGCTCCTTCCCTTCCTCCGTCGCCTCCTCCCCCACCCGCCCACGCAGGCCTCGGGCTCTCTGCATCCGGCCTCTGCAAACCCTCCGATCCCTCCCAACCATTCCCCAAGTTCCTTCCAGCTCGGCCCTCCCCCTGGGGCCCACCGCGGGCGCTTCCTCCTCGCCCGTCTGCCCTTCCCGGCCTACCCCAGCCTTTAGTAGGCCGCAACCCTCATCCATTGTTATTTACATCATCGTCGGGGGAGGCTGAGCGCTTCACCCCGCGCGGGTGAGACTCCCGGGCAGCACTCATCCTTGCGGGGATCCCGACGGGAAATGCCGAACACACTAGCCGTTCTCCTCCGTCCGGACACCCGCAGCCCGCAATCTGCCACCGGCCCAAGCAACGCCACTCCAAAACGCAGAGCCCCTCCGGGCCTTCTCCTCCACAGTCGTCACGGCTTCGGCCGCTTGCCACCCCGGAGCACTCTGGGAGTTGTAGTTTTTCCGGGTTCGGTCTTTACTGAGTCGAGTAACCCGCCGGTTGGAACTGAAACTACGATTCCCAGAAGGCCGAGTGGCGCAGCTCGCGCTGCGTGGCGGGAGTGCCCTCGGAAGCTGCGCCTTCCTCGCCGTGTTGGAGGGCGCTTTCCCGCGGAGGGGTATGGTGCTGAGCCTTGGTGGAGCGCTTCGTCCCTACGCTACTGCTGGGCTTTGAGAGTGGGCTTTCTCATTTCTCTGTGAGATTCTGCCCTGTTGGCGAATGCATTCCGTCATAATTAATCACCTAGATTTAAAAGTAGTGGTTGAGGCTTATTGAATACGAGTCCTTCCGCCCAAGACAAAAACCCTTTAAAAAATGGCTTCTCTTCCCAGCCGTATGTGTGCTCTCTATTGCTGGTGGGATTTTTAAAAAGCTCTGATGAATTTCTTGACATTTTCAGATAACTCAACTGCAGTGAGTTCAGTATGGCTTTGATTGCTGGGTAATTGGCTATTTTCGGCACTGAGGTCACCCGAGGGAGTTCTGGAACGCTTTCCACCCGGCTTTGTATGGAATAGGTAGAAACGACCTTCCTGAACTTCTCACAGGTTTAGAGATTATATGCTGGAGCCTTTACCAAGTGACGTCTGCCTCTGTCAGAACAGCCGTATCTTTTAAATTTTTCTTAAAATTTAAAACGGCGAGTGTGTTCGGCATTTCCCATCGGGATCCCCGCAAGGATGAGTGCTGCCCGGGAGTCTCACCCGCGCTCAGCCTCCCCGAGATTCACATAACATAAAATTAACCCCTTTGAAGTTACACTTCGGTGGTATTTAGTACATTAATAACCTTCACAGCCTGAATTGTCACCTCTAGTTCCAAGACATTGCACTGTCCCGTAAGGTACCACATGCATGCTTTGCCCTTGGAGACCAAAGGGCATCCATTCTTCTAGTACTGGCGTTGAGGGTTATTAGCTGCCTTGGGGCTGGGAGCAAAACCAGGGTCCTCTGCAAGGGCAACCAGTGCTCTTAAGCCCTGAGCCATCTTTCTAGTCCCCAAGGCATTTGAGTTTTTAACCACATTTGAATCTAATGGTCAAGATGCTCTTCCTTACGTATTCTATTCTTATCTTAGCCAAAAGGCCGAGAAGCGATCTTTCCTTACTTATTCTAAAGCTTTCTGTCCTTGATCAAACAATCGAGTTTTAAAGTAAACACATGGTATGACAGTACATGTCTAGTATAAATTTCTATATTGAGTGGTCTGTGAAACAAAGCTTAGCTATTAACTTATGTACTCAAGTTATTCTGGTTAGCTTTCTGTATAGAAATACTATTTTCTTAAGTTTCAAATGATTGTTGAGCTATTGTAGAACTGTGCCCAGAGTGGGAGTGGCCATGCCTGCAACCTTAACCTTGGGAGATAGTGGTGGGAGAATCAGGAGTCCAAGATTATTCTGCACTACATAGTGACTTTAAGGCCAGCCTGGGCCACTTTAAGGCCAGCCTGGGCCATTTCAAAAAACAAAACAGGGCCTGGCGAGATGGCTCAGTGGTTAAGAGCACTGACTGCTCTTGCAGTGGACCCAGGTTCAAGTCTCAGCACCCACATGGTGGCTAGCAACCAGGCAGTAACTTCCAGGGGAATCTGACAACCTCTTCTGACCTCTGTGGACATTGCATGACACTGGCGCCCTTACATACATGCAGACAATACACTCATACGCAGAAAATTGAAAAAGAAACTACAAAAACAAAACAAAACAAAAACAGCTCCTCTCCCCTGACATCAAACTGTGCCGATTGGAAGACACAGTTTCTTAATTCATGCAGTCATAGATCCAAGTTCTGTTCCTTCATTTTGAAAGCAGAGAACAGCTTTTAAGTAAATAGTATAAATAACATCCTTAGAGCCATATTTAATAAAGTTCAGCTAAATCTGTTATTTCTATGTTAAAAATAAGCCATAAAAAAGGAGCAAACCCATGGGGAAGCAAAGCAATTTTAGAAATGGTTTATTTGCTACAATTAAAATATTTTACCTAGTAACTGCATAAAACTTATTTTCTATAAATTCAGTTACAGTGAAATTGCATGAGTTGCAGAGTTTTAGGTAGGATGGATTATAATTCACCTTGTATGAGTTTGACAAATTGTTAATAAACACAATTTAGAACTCTTAGCTATGTTACTGATAAAAGAAGATGGTTCAGTAGCTACTTTAGACTGTTAAGTAAAAAGTATCACTAAGGTTAGTAGTTACTAAAGAATTCTAACTTTGCTAATTGACAAAAGTTCAGAAAAGTTTGCAACATGTCTTTTATTTCTGCAACAGATTTGTTGGCACATCTAGCTGCTTCTGTCTTTAAGTTATTGTAAAACATCATCACAAGCAAAACAAACCCCAGAAAACTACAGACTATCATTTGAACAGACTTCCCTCAGTTTCATGTTCAGATGGTAGAAGTAAGGATGGAATTATGCAGCAGAGCAGAAATATATGGCACAGAAGTTTAGCAGTGCTCATTTTGTGAAAATAAGAAGGTACTCGAGTGGCACCCGTAGACACCTCCATCAGTACTGAGACCTTCTGGCTCCGTTGCTTGTTTCTGTGTCTTCTAGCACAATGGTACAGAGTGGTTAATAAGTATCTACAGTTTGTACTACCGCAAATATTCTGTGAAAGTCCTTGAGTATGCACGTTAAGAAAGCATTACCAAACACTTGCAATGGGTATAGAAGAGCCACATTTTCTGCATTCAAGGGATATAGGACTTAATTGCAGTTTATCAATTTGCAAAATAAATCAAGACTGTCAAAGATGGAAATGAGCAGAGGCGATCATTGAGTTCGTATGGGGAGTGCCGAGTGCCTGGGGTCTGAACCGCTAAGGGTTATGTTATTCTACATGAGTGTGCACTTCTAGCTCTTCAAATAGAATTATTTTTAGAGTGAAAACCTATGTATTCTGTTCTTCATAACTATTTACTTATTTACTGATGCTTGGAGACAGGGTCTCAGACAGACAGGGCAGCCCAGGCTGGCCTGGAACTTTGTGTAGCCCAACGTGTCCTTGACCTCAGGATTCTCCTATGTCAGTCTCCAAGTGCTAGGGTTACAGGTGTGTTGTCCCCTAATCTGATTTCTAGCTTTTACAAATGTGCAATACATCTTTGTTATCTGTAGTCACTACCACGCAGTAGCACCCCAGAACGTCTTACTTTTATCCGACTCTAACTTAGTACCATCGGTCATCTTCTCCCCCTTCTTCTCGCTGTTCTCTCTAGGCTCACTCAATTTCCATGAGCTCAACGTTTTTTATTGTCTACATATGAGTGAATCACTTCGTACTTGTCTTTTTGTTTCCTGTAATTTTGCTTGATGATCTCCAGTTCCATGTTGGCACAAGCGACAGGATTTCATTCCTTTGTAAGGCTAACTGGTGCTCCACTGTGCATATATACCATGTTATCTATTCATCCATTGACGGATGCTTAGTCTGCCTCCATTTCTTAGCTGTTCTCAGTAGAGCTACAGTGAAAGTGGAAGAGCAGCGTCTCAGTGACAGACCGGTTTCATTTCCTGTGTGCTTACCCAGTTGGATGATTGCTGAGCTGTAGATGGTTGTCTTTGATTCTCTGAGAAACCTCTCTACTGCTTTGCATAATGGCTGTGCTAACATGTTCCCATCAAGAGTTTGCAGAGGTTACCTTTTCTCTACATCCTTGCCAGCATTTGCTACCTTTTGTACTTTTGATAATAGTCATTCTTTCTGGAGTGAGGTGATACTGTGATTTTGATTTGTGCTTCTCGAATGGTTAGTGATAGTGAACATTTTTTCATCTCTCTATTTGTTATTTGTGTCCTCTTTTGTCCATAAGGTCCGTTATGGTTTGACACATTTGTTCCCACCCACCCAAAGGCTCGTAGATTGTAGACTTTTTAAAAAATATTTTATTTATTATTTTTATTTTATGTGTATGAGTGTATTGCCTGCATGTATGTGAATGCACCTGTGTTGTGCAGTGCCGCGGAGGTCAGAAGAGGGCTTCAGATTCCCCTGGAACTGGAGTTAAGCAGGGTTTGTAGCTACCATATGGATGCTGGGAATTGAACCTGGGTCCTCTAGAAGAGCAGTCAGTGCTCTTAACTGCTGAGCTATCTCTCCAGCCCTGTAGACTTTTTTTTTTTAATAGCCAAGTCCACCTTTATTATTATTATTATTATTATTATTATTATTATTATTATTTAGTTTCTTTCCTTTTGAGACAGGTCTTACTAATAGAGCCTTGGCTGGCCCCAAGCTCACAGAGATCCATCTACCTCTGCCTCCTAAATGCTGAGATTAAAGGTATGTGCCACCATGCCTGACTCAAGTTTAATTTTTTCTTTTTTTTGGTCTTTTTGAGATAGGGTCTCCCTGTAGCCCCAGCTGACCTGGAACTCACTATGTAGACCAGGCTGGCCTTGAACTCACAGAATTTCCCTGCTTCTGCCTCCTAAGTGCTGGGATTAAAGGTGTGTGCCACCACGCCTGGCCCAGAAAATCATCTTTATACCCCCTTCATCCTTCCCTTTTGGCACCTCCCATAGCCCCCCCACTGAGGTTCATACATTCTGTCATTTGTGTTAAGGCTTATTATGTAAAGTTAGTGTCCCCAGATGTCCCTCAGTGCAAGTTTATCCACCGGGGTTTAGTCAACCTGTTTAGAAGTCCCTCCCTTCAAGATCAGCTCTTCCTCATCCAGAAGTAATCAGCTGCCAATAATTCTTCCACTGATACTGGGGCCTACTGTTCATTTCCACAGCTCTGTGCTGGGTTTTGGTCTTCCTAAGTTTGCAGGGGTCTTTTATATCCACGAACTCTGTTACGCTCTTTTGTTTTCTGCTCCCCAACCCTCAATACTTTGTCTCTCTGATGGTCCGCTCTGTAGTTTCCTGACCTATACCAACACCACTCCCCAACAGTATTACATATTGAAAGCTT